TAGTTTTTATGATATAAGCAATCACGTGATCACGTATGGTTGAAAAAATGCATGTTGCGACTTATACTATGGAAGATTCTAGAATATTCTAGAAAGTTTGATGACGCAGTATGAGTGCCGTATGCAAAAGCCAGAAAGCCCTCTATAAGGCCAGACTTTTGAACGGTGAGGGTCAGTCAGTTGAAGACTGAGACAGTATCGTTAAATATCATTTCACATTGTTCTTTTTACTGTAATTATGCCTCGCACGTGTGTAAATAAAGCAGATAATTTCTGCTATGTTTGCGGTGAAGTTACTTATGAATCACAAAAGAGACGAATAACAGCAGTGATTAGGAAAGCCTACAAATTGTGGGGCAGTGAGCGACAAGCATGGTGAGCGTTTCCATCAACAAGTTGCCACGATGGAAAAAAGAGATCAAGGCCAATGGACTCCGTCCATGCTGTCAGACTCCTGCTGGAGCATTGCAAGAGGGAATCCTTTCCTTGAATACCAAAGAAAAGTCAAGAGAAGCAATCCTAAAGTCACAATTAAAGCGACATTTAAACTTTCAGACTTTTCAACTGCATTAGGCCTACGAATAGAGTTTCTTGCTGCACAAACATAAACAATAGACTAATTAAATAAATATTTCTCATGTATAAACTATTGGCAATATAATTTGACTAAAATTTAGTAAATATTCACGGTTTATATACACGCAGCAAGGTTAGGCGCATTATCATAACATTAACGAATTACCTATTGTGGAGAAAATGGAAATAGCTGTTGCATAAAAACCAGAGCCAATTAACACATTTAATTATTAAGAAACGGCACATTTTGTTTCCGCAACTGAGAAAAACCGAAAATTTGTAGAACAGTGTTAGTTATAATTGTTGATATTATATGGTAAATTTGTGTTTTGTATACGGTATATTGTACTGTATTTTGTGAATTGTTAGGCATCGAATTGTGCCTCTTGTAAGCCGCCCTGAGTCCCCCCTCGGGGGTTGAGAAGGGCGGGGTAGAAGCACTCCAAATAAATAAATAATAAACAAATATAAGCAAGCCATACCTGGAGAAAGGAGCAGGGGGTCCCCATGGTCACATCCAGAGTGACTCTGCCCAGAACGAGTTGCACTTTCCCCGATTTGCGGATCAGCAGCTTCCCCACTTGCCCTTCAGACAGGTCCCCCAAAGTGCAGGTGTTCTCTGCTTCCTTGGCTTCCTGAAAGCACACCCAGAGAAGGGAAAGGTGACTATTTCCAGGAACCAATTTTGCAATTTTACTAGCTGTTTGAAATCGTGGGAGTTGAAGTCCAAAATGCCCAAAGGGCCAAAGTTTGCATTTGCCTGTCCTAGAGTCTCTGCTAGCATATGGCCAAAGCTGTTTGCACTCATTTGCTTTCAAGAAGTAGAGTTAAACCAAAATTTTCCCTGGAGCAGACAAGAAGATCCCATAAAGGCTACTACGTAAGAAAAATTCCACAACTTTGAATTCATCGGCATATTTTATTCTGATAATTCAGGCATAACTACACTGGAAAAAAGGCATCACCCAGCAGAAGCCATCACTGAACCTGGCTTCTGCTGGGTTTCAAATCGTGGTCGGCATTCTCTCTAGTGTAGCTCTGCACTAATAAGGACTACTGACTTTTAAGAATTGCCGTGTTTACTCGAGTATAAGCCGTGTTTTTCAGCCCTTTTCTAAGGCTGAAAAAGCCTCCCTCGGTTTATACTCAAGTCAAAGTTATTTATTATTTTACTCTGTTATTATTATTATTATATTTATTATTTTACTCTTTTATTATTACATTTAAATTATTTTACTCTATTAGGAAAACATTTAAATTATTTTATTCTATTATTATTACTATAATTTCATTTATTGTTTGACTCTATTATTATTACATTTATTATTTTATTCTATTATTACTGTCACTATTACATTTCCATTATTTTACTCTATTATTATTTTTGTTACATCTATTATTTTACTCTCTTTATTGTTATTGGAAGGGTACATACACACATTTACATTGAAGACGGTTAGGATAATGGTTTAATCAGACTTGGGCAGTCTTATCTTGGACAGTATTATTATTATATTTATTATTTTACTCTATTATTATTTTTGTTACATCTATTATTTACTCTCTTTATTGTTATTGGAAGGGTACATACACACATTTACATTGAAGACGGTTAGGATAATGGTTTAATCAGACTTGGGCAGTCTTATCTTGGACAGTATTATTATTATATTTATTATTTTACTCTATTATTATTTTTGTTACATCTATTATTTTACTCTCTTTATTGTTATTGGAAGGGTACATACACACATTTACATTGAAGACGGTTAGGATAATGGTTTAATCAGACTTGGACAGTCTTATCTTGGACAGTATTATTATTATATTTATTATTTTACTCTATTATTATTTTTATTGCATCTATTATTTTACTCTCTTTATTGTTATTGGAAGGGTACATAAACACATTTGCACTGAAGACAGTTAGGATAATGGTTTAATCAGACTTGGACAGTCTTATCTTGGACCGTATTATTATTATATTTATTATTTTACTCTATTTATTATTATTATTACATTTATTATTTTACTCTATTACTACTGTTATTATTACATTTCCATTATATTACTCTATTATTATTTTTATTGCATAAAACACATTTACATTGAAGACGGTTAGGATAATGGTTTAATCAGAATTGGACAGTCTTATCTTAAATTACAGTTTTATGTAAATACTAGCTATCCCCCGCCACGCGTTGCTGTGGTCCAGTCTGTGTATATTTTTTTTGTGTTTGTATATGTGTATATATATATATATATTTGTGTATATATATGTGTGTTTGCGTATAGTATATATTAGGCTTGGTTGATCCAGTTCGTTAATTTCGTATCTTGTTATTAATTCGTTAAATAATTACCTTTAGAAGCGATATCGACACGTTTTGGCAACCCGGAAGTGTTTTTGCCATATCGAAGCCGCATCCGCCATCTTCCTTACGACTTCTGCCAGTGAATCGTAAATGCTGGGGGCGTGGCCTTCAGGAACAGCTGTTCTTACCCACGCCCACCTCCTTCCTCTTTGCATCGGTGGCTTTGCGAGGTGGGCGTGACTACCTCCCTGGTGACAAGCGGCGATGCGGAAGAGCTGGGCGTAGCCACGCCCACCTCGCAAAGCCGCCGATGCAAAGAGGAAGGAGGTGGGCGTGGCCAAGCACAGCCCTCCTTGGAGGCCTCGCCCCCAGCGACCTCCGAGGAGCGCTGTGCTTGGCCACACCCACCTCTCCCTTGGACAGCTTGCCAGGGAAGAGAAAGAAAGGTGAGAGAGGTGGCCACGCCCACCTCTCCCTTCTGCATGGAAACTCGCCGCAAGGGAAGGAAGAGAAATTTTAATGGTTCTGGAGGGAGGGAAGGGCAACTTCCATTAACGAAACAAAGGAAACAATTCGTATTTCCTGGTATTTTCGATCTTTTTTAAAAGAAAATTTTGGAAATGATTTAAAAATCGAACCTCCAGCGCCCCCTACATACGGAACGAGTTTAGAACCATTTTTTTTCTTGATCAACCAAGCCTAGTATATATATGTAGTTTTGCGCATCATTACAATGTAATTTTTTTGCTTTTTTTTTTTGCTTTTAAAGTCTCTTCTGCTATGTTTTTATGAGTGATGGTCACTCATTGGCCTGATAAGTGCACTGCATCCAAATTTGGTGTCAATTCGTCCAGTGGTTTTTGAGTTATGTTAATCCCACAAACGAACATTACATTTTTATTTATATAGATTCAAAAACATTTAACCTACTGATGCCTCAATTAATGTAATTTTATTGGTATCTATTTTTATTTTGAAATTTACCAGTAGCTTCTGCATTTCCCACTCTTGGCTATACTCGAGTCAATACATTTTCCCCGTTTTTTTGTTATAAAATTAGGTGCTTCGGCTTATTTATTTATTTATTTACAGCATTTATATACCACTTTTCTCACCCCTGGGGGACTCAAAGTGGTTCATATTTGGCTTATATTTGGGTCAAAGGTAAAATACAAGAGGGAAGTCTTGCAGAATTACAGCAGGCAGTTCTGCATTCCTGCTGCATTCCTGTTTTTCTATTTGTGGTGTTTAGATTGGGAAAGCATGCCACTAAAATCCTATCCATCCTGTTTGAACGTTAGGAATGCCTTCCTGGCGGTAAGAGCTGATCAGCAGTGGGAGACATTCCCCAGGTGTCTGGGAGAGTCTCCTTCTCTGGACTGGCTGGCCCTTGGGGTCTCTCTGTGGCTCTATGACTTCCTACTCCAGCATCCCATCCGTACCTGGCTCTTTTCCTGCTTGATCACCATCATCTGCCCGTCCTCGTTCGGCACCTCTGTCTTGATGGGCTTGGAGTCCTGGGTGGGCGGCTGCCCTGGGAGCGTATCCGGCAGCTGCAGGAAGAGCAGCTCGTCCTCCTTGCAGAGGCTCAGCCCGTGCAGCAGCTCCGCCACTGACACATCCTGCGGAAAGGGAGGAGGAGGAGGCGCCTTTGCAGGAGTTGATCTGAGCGCAGACGGGGACTCCTCTTCATCCTGGGGCTCCTCTTTCACTAAAAGGAGGCCAAAGAGAGGCAAGATCATACAGCTGGCAAGGACTATATGCTCTGTAACAGGCGTGGGCAAACTTTGGCCCTCCAGTTGTTTTGGACTTCAACTCCCACAACTCCTAACCGACGGCAGCCATTGTCTTATAGAATCACAGAATCCTAGAATCCAAGAGTTGGAAGAGACCTCCTGGGCCATCATCCAGTCCAACCCCATTCTGCCAAGAAGCAGGAATATTGCATTCAAAGCACCCCTGACAGATGGCCATCCAGCCTCTGTATTTATAATTATTATAACTTTATTTGTACCCCGCTAGCATCTCCCAAGGGATTCGATGCGGCTTACAACGGGCCGAGGCCCACACAATACAACAATACAACAATACAGTACCTAGCAAATAAAAACAGTTAAGCAAAAAATAACAAAAGCGGTACAACAAGACATTATTAAAAAACTGAGCTGGCCAGAGTAGGGGTACAGGATTAAAAGTGCTGATGTGTCGGAGGGATATGGGATTATAGTATAAGTGCGGTGCGCGGTGATCTTGGTTCTAACTAAAGTGCTTCTGGGATTTGGTACTGGGGTTCCTAGTCTGAAAAGGCACATTGGAACAGCCAGGTTTTCAAATTCTTCCTGAAGACTGCCAATGTAGGGGCTTGTCTGAGGTCTTTCGGGAGGGCATTCCAGAGGCGGGGGGCACCACAGAGAAGGCCCTGTCTCGTGTCCCCACCAAGCGCGCTTGTGACGCGGGCGGGATCACGAGCAGGGTCTCTCCAGATGACCGGAGTGAACGTGTGGGTTCGTAGACAACGATACGGTCACGCAGGTAGGGTGGTCCCAAACCGTTCAGGGCTTTGTAGGTAAGCACCTGCACCTTAAATTGGGCTCGGAAAATAAACGAGATGGCCATCCAGCCTCTGTTTCAAAGCTTCCAAAGAAGGAGCCTCCACCACACTCCGGGGCAGAGAGTTCCACTGCTGAACGGCTCTCACAGTCAGGAAGTTCTTCCTCATGTTCAGGTGGAATCTCCTTTCTTATACAGGTAGTCCCCAAGTTACAGCCATTCGACTTACAAACAACACACGGTTAAGAACAGGAGGGTGAGACAACAGGAAGTGAGATAAATCTTCCCCTCGGAAGGGAAATTCACTCCTGAAAGAGTTATTATCACGGGGAAGTGGTGTCTCCACTGAAGCTTTCTCGCCAATCCTTGTTTCCACAACAAGCCACATTTTTCAAAAACAATTTTTAAAAGAATTTATTTGAGTAAAAAATTACAGTTCTATAGACCTATACTATGCATTTCTCCTCCTTTTTTTTACATTCACCCCTGTGCTCCCCTTCCTTCTCCTGAGTCACAGCTTCTTCTAAAGTCAAACCAAAAGTTCAATTCTTCATTTGGAGGTAAATTCCCATCTTCTTTTCCCCATACTTTTTCTAGAAATTTTCTCCAAATACTTTCAAAGTCATTTTTTTACATAATCCCTTCTTTACTTTTAAGTTCGATGTTAGCTTATCGTTCAGTGCCATTTTCCAGACTTCTTTACACCATTCATTAATCTGCATTTTCATTTCCCCTTTCCGATATTTTGCAATTAATAATCTAGTGGCTGGTAATAGCATGTCTATTAATTTTTTCCCTCTTATCTTTCCCATCCTCTTTTTTTTAATTAAAAGTAGTATTTATACTGGATTCCTCCTAATTTTTATATCCATAATATTTTCTATTTCCCTTATACCCAATTCCCAAAAATCTTTTACATATTTGCAATCCCACCACATATGCATGTAGGTTCCAATTTCTTGGCACCCTCGACCAACATTTTTTTTATTATTGTTCTTATTTATTTTTTAAAAAATATTTATTATTATTTTATTTTAATAATAATAGTAATAATAATTTAAAATATTGTTCTTATTTATAAGGTTTAACTTTCTTGGTGTAAAATACCATTTCCGAATTAATTTATAATCATTTTATTTTATTCTAATACACATGTTTTTAATTGTCTTGCTTTCCATATCTCTTCCCAATCAAAAACCAATTTTCAAGGGACGGAAAGTGAGGGGAATGTCAGAAACATTAAAAATTAACTGGGCATTTTTGACTACAAAAGTGTGAAAGAGTTAGTGGACTGAAGTGTCAGTGGGCCAAAGCTAGTCTCATCCTGAGGACAGTGAGTGGGCCTGTTAGTGTTAGTTTGCCTCAGTGAGGAAATTCCTCAGTCTGTGTGAGGCTTCTCTGTGAGGTAGGCCTTAGTCTATGGGAAAACCGAGTGTGAGAAGGCCTGGTTTGAGAAGCTCCGGTGAGAGAAGCCCCAAGTTGAAGGCCATCAGGTGTGAAGCTCCAGTGTGAAGGCTGCTGTGTGTAAAAAGCTACTGGGTGAAGCTCCAGTGTATGTTTGTTGTGAGAGGAGGCTCTGTGAGAGCAAAGCTGTTTATCTGCATGAGGAAGAAGCTCAGCGTGGAAGCAAAGAAGGAAGTATAAAGAACTTCATTCGCGTTATGGAAACCTTGTTATTGTAAATTAGTTGTACCCGCCACGTGTTGCTGTGGCCAATCTTCCCTCCCTCCCTCTTTCTTTCTTTCCTTTTTTTCTCTTGTTCCTTCTCACCTTCCTTCCTTCTCTACCTCTTTCCTTCCTTCCCCTCCCTTTTTCTTTCTCTCCTTTCTTCCCTATCTATTCTTGGACTGCAACTCCCAGCAATCCTTCTGATTTATCTATCTACCTACTATCTATCTAATGCATGTATCTTATCTCTGGAGGCTCAAACCCAGGTTCAAACCCAGCACCTCAATCCGTGGGTGATACCAGATGAGAGACTCCCCCCTGGGCACACAGAAGACGGGGCGACTTGGAAGGTGCTGAACAGACTGCGCTCTGGCACCACGAGATGCAGAGCCAATCTTAAGAAATGGGGCCACAAAGTGGAGTCCATGACGTACGAGTGTGGAGAGGAGCAAACCACTGACCACTTGCTGCAATGCACCCTGAGCCCAGCCACATGATGCACAAGGGAGGACCTCCTTGCGGCAACACCAGAGGCACTCCAAGGGGATAGAGACTGGGCAAAGGACATTTAATCCACTATACCAAGCTTGCAAATTCTGTGTCTTTTGTATGTTTGTTTGTTTGTTTGTTTTGTTAAAAATGTAATACAACTGTCTTGTTGCTCCTGACACGATAAATAAATAAATAAATAAATAAATCTGGAGGATTGCTGGGAGTTGCAGTCCAGGAATAGGAAGTTGGAAATATGTACAGATTGGGATGTTCTCAAAGAAATCCAAGGAGAATAAAGCTTGCAGCTTGGAAGGCAGTGCATTTGGAGCATCCTCCTCCCATAAAGGTCCTGGTCTAGGGGATGATGGGAGCTGCTGTTTTTGTGCATGCGTTGTATCTTCATTTAGCTTTTTTGGGTTGTAAAGTCCTTTCCACTGTTTTTTTGGAAAGGTTTATGAGTGATGGTCACTTGTTGGTCTGTTAGGGGTATAGTGTCCAAATTTTGCATCAATTCGTCCAGTGGTTTTTGAGTTATGTTGATCCCACAAACGAACATTACATTTTTATTTATATAGATAATAATAATAATAATAATAATAATAATAATAACAACAACACTTTATTTGTACCCGCTACCATCTCCCCAAGGGACTCGGTGCAGCTTACATGAGGCCGAGCCCAAACACAACAATACAAGCCATAATAACAACAATACAGCAGTTAAAATAAAAACATAGACTGTAAAAATACCACATATAGATAGTGCAACCATATTATTTTGCTATAAAGAAAGCCTCCTATGGAGGAGATAACACTGGTCTGTGTGTTTTTGTCTTGTCTTGTCTCCTGATATGCCATCAGCTGGAGACCCCTCCCCACAGCACCAACTGTCACTCTGGGCCAGAGTGAAGGGGGGGGGGCACGGGACAGTTCCACCTTGTCTCCTGTGCTATTCTAATAATATAATATAATATAATATAATATATTGTATATACATATAATAGTTATAATATTATAAAGTAACACAATAAAATAATAATAATAATAATAATATGATATTATAATTATATATTTACACTAGCCGTCCCCTGCAACGTGTTGCTATGGCTCTCATGGGGGTTCTGTGTGGGAGGGTTGTATTCCATTTCTATCATTGGTGGGGTTCGGAATGCTCTGTGATTGTAGGTGAACTATAAATCCCAGCAAGTACAACTCCCAAATGTCAAGATTCTATGTTTCCCAAACTCCACCAGTGTTCACATTTGGACATATTGAGTATTTGTGTAGAGTTTGGGTCCAGATCCATCATTGTTTGAGTCCACAGTGATGTAGGTGAACTACAACTCCGAAAGCAAAGGACACTGCCCACCAAACCCTTCCAGTATTTTCTGTTGGTCATGGGAGTTCTGTGTGCCAAGTTTGGTTCAATTCCATTGTTGGTGGGGTTCAGAATGCTCTTCGATTGTAGGTGAACTATAAATCCCAGCATCGACAACTCCCAAATGACAAAATTAATTTTTTTTTGAGTGAAGGACATACATTGGGTTGTTAGATGTCTTGTGTCCAAATTTGGTGTCAATTCGTCCAGTGGTTTTTGAGTTCTGTTAATCCCACAAACGAACATGACATTTTTATTTATATAGATTACTTGTAATCACAAGTTTTGTATTTGTCTGTTTGTTTGCTTTGTTCTGTTAGAAATGTAATATAATGGACTGGTTGCTCTGACACGACAAATAAATAAATACTTGTAATATTAGTAATAATATTACGATATAGTGGTATGGTGCAATATAGCAATGTTTAATGCTGATATTGTCCTCTGCTAATGATATTATATTTTGTATGGAATATATTACCTTGTAAGCCGCTCTGAGTCCCCTTCGGGGAGAGAAGGGCGGCATATAAATGTCGTAAATAAATAATTTGTTGTTCTTTTTATCTCTTTGGGCTACTGGTGCTGGGCCACGCTGCTAATAAGTTGTTTGAGGTAGATGTAGAAGTAACTCAGAACATTTTTTCTTAAAATGTCCCTACTACAACAGGATCCGGTCTTACTACCTAGAGCAGTGTTTCTCAACCTTCCTAATGCTGCGACCCCTTAATACAGTTCCTCATGTTGTGGTGACCCCCAACTATAAAATTATTTTCGTTGCTACTTCAAAACTGTAATTTTGCTACTGTTATGGGTCATCATGTAAATATCTGATATGCAGAATATATTTTCATTCACTGGACCAAATGTGGCACAAATACCTGATTCACCCAAATTTGAATACTGGTGAGGTTGCGGGTGGAGGTGTATTGATTTAGTCATTTGGGAGTTGTAGTTGCTGGGATTTATAGTTCACCTACAATCAAAGAGCATTCTGAACTCCACCAATGATGGAATTGAACTAAACTTGGCACATAGAACTCCATGACCAACAGAAAATATGAGAAGAATTTGGTGGACATTGACCTTGAGTTTTGGAGTTGTAGTTCACCTAAATCCAGAGACCACTGTGGACTCAAACAATGATGGATCTGGACCAAACTTGGCACAGATACTCAATATTTCCAAATGTGAACACTGGTGGAGTTTGGGGAAAATAGAGCTTGATATTTGGGAGTTTTCGTTGCTGGGATTTATAGTTCACTTACAATCAAAGAGGATTCTGAACCCCACCAATGATAGAATTGGGCCAGACTTCCCACACAGAACCCCCATAACCAACAGAAAATACTGTGTTTTCTGATGGTCTTTCGCGACCCCTCTGACACCCCTTCGCGACCCCTTCAGGGGTCCCGACCCCCAGGTTGAGAATCACTGACCTAGAGCCTCTGCTGGAGAACCATACTTATTCAGAGAATAAGGAGAAATTGCACATCCTTCTTCAGGGTTCAGATAAAAACTCTATTTTAAAATTGACCCTTTTTACCCAAAAAGCGCTGGCCATCCGTGAGAAGATGGAAGCAGAGAGAGGCGACCTTGCTGCCATCAACAAAACTCAAACTTAAAAACTTAATATGGACACGCCACTAGTTTTACCTACCCATGCCCCCCCCCCTAACCCTATTTTAAGGAATTAATCAAATTTTAATCTTTTAACCTCTTTATCTTGTAATTGTTCAATTATTTAGGAGTGGGTCGACAGGCCAGTAGGCCATGATGCCTTGCATTCATAGATGGTTTTACTGTATGTGTATGTTTTGTATGTTTTGCATGTTTTGATATGGTCAAAATTGACTAATCAATAAAGAATTGTTGTTGTTGTTTGATATGTCAAATGGCTGTCTAGTTTTCTATTCCCTTAGGTTGGATATTTTTTTTTTTTTTTTGTAATAGCTTCAGGGGAAAAAGTTGAATAAGAAGTCATGTTTGGTGGTACATAAAAAGAATGACAACTGTTTTTGCCTGTGTCATGACCAAGGACAAAGGATGTAAAGAATATATTTTCCCCTCTCTCAATGAGGAAGAGGGAGTTGACTAATCTGGACACATTTCCACCCTGAGTCCCCCCTCGGGGGTAGAAGTATACGAAATAATAATAATAATAATAATAATAATAATAATAATAATAATAATAACAACAACAACATTACAAGAGTTTTCCACACTTTCTAGTGAGTTTTCTGCATTTAAGGACTTTCTTGCAAAAAAATGCAATTTCTGCATAAACCATTGCATTTTGTTTGAATGTTTTTTTTAAAGGGTATGTAGTTTGACAGAATGTTTTTACACAAATTAAATGTTTAAAAATCAAACTCTGAAATCAAAACTAAAAACACTGAAAAATGCACACAGATTCATAATGTTGTCCACTGAGGTATTGCCTCTCTCAAGTAATAAGTTGTCTTAGGAGATCTGCAGAGGCTGTAGTTTTAATACAAGGAGGAAGGATCCCAGAAGGATCTTCCATGCACCCTCTGGCTGTTTCCGCCTCCTACCTCTCACTGAAGAGGCGTCAACCTCCATCTCCTCCTCCTTCGGGCCGGAGCGCAAAGGCTTGATATCTTCTTGGTCGTCCTCCTTGAAAAGCCAACCCGAATGGGCCAGAGGCAGCTGGACAGGCTTATTCCGGATGTCATTTTTCAAACCTGGGTCATCCAGGAACTGGAAGAAAGGAGCAAAAAAGGAAAGGCTAAGGCTGGATCTACACTGCAGAACTAACACAGTTCGACACCACTGTAACTGCCATGGCTCGATGCTTTGGAATCACAGGAATTGATTTGGTGAGGCACCAGCACTCTTTGGAAGAGAGGACTAGAGACCTTGTAAAACTACGACTCTCATAATTCCATAGCATCGAACCATTGCAATTAAAGTAACATAAAACTTCATTAATTAATAATCTAAAACAGTGGTTCTCCACCTTCCTAATGCCGCGACCCCTTAATACAGTTCCTCATGTTGTGGTGACCCCCAACCAGAACCCTAACATTATGAATCACCATGTAAATAATGATCTGCAGGGTGTACTTTCATTAATTGGAGCAAATTTGGGACAAATACCCGGTATGCCCAAATTTGAATACTGGTGGGGTTGGCGGGGGGATTGATTTTGCCACTTGGGAGTTGTAGTTGCTGGGATTTATAGTTAACCTGTAAACAAAGAGCATTCTGAACCCCACCAAGAATGGAATTGAACCAAAGTTGGCACAGAGAACTCCCATGGTCAACAGAAAATACTGGAAGGGTTTGGTGGGCATTGACCTTGAGTTGGGGAGTTGTAGTTCGCCTACATCCAGAGAGCACTGTGGGCTCAAACAATGATGGACCTGGACCAAACTTGGCACGGATACTCAATATGCCCAAATGTGAACACTGATGGGGTTTGGGGAAAACAGACCTTGACATTTGGAAGTTATTGTTACTGGGATTTATAGTTCACCTACAATCAAAGAGCATGCTGAACCCCACCAAAACAGAATTGGGCCAAACTTCCCACACAGAACCCCCATGACCAACAGAAATATTGTGTTTTCTGATAGCCTTTGGCGACCCTAAGGACACTCCCTCGCGACCGCCCCAGGGGTCCGGACCCCCAGGTTGAGAAACACTGATCTAAAACAACTGAAATAAAACCTCATATGATAGAAGGAGAGAAAGGTTTAAAGAAAGAAAAATAGAAGAAAGAGAAGAGGAAGACACCGCTATCATGATACCCAGGAAGTCCAGAGGATCTTCACTTTTTAAAAACTTTTTTGAATATATATATATATATATATATATATATATATATATATATATATATATAAACTTTATTTACCTTTTTTTCCTCTCTCTTTGTTTTCACCTTACTATTTCCTACTTTCCTATCTTCTTGCAAATATTCCCCCTCTTTCCCTGTAACTATATAAAATACTTAATAAAAATTATATTAAAAAAATTCATTAATTCTATGGAATAGATGCACCCTATGTGTAAAAATAAATAAATAAAAGCTATCCTTGACGCTTTATTTCAGAGTATCTCTATATGTAGGGGTGTGTTTACAATTAAAAAAGAAATATGGATAGGCCTGTAATGTAACTGTGTAGAGGCAAGGACAGAAATTGTTGTGAATACTGTTGTAGATGTCGCACCTCAGGGTAGATTCACCTTGCTTGGAGCACCACACACACCAGGGCTGTAGGTTTTGTAGTTTATTAAAGAAAAGGCAAAGTCTTAAACACAAAAGCAAAGTTGCAAGAGTTCAATAGTCAAACAGGGTCTTAAATGCAAAGGCAGAGTTTCCAAAGTCCAAAGGCAAATAACATGAAGCATAATCCATAAGCATTGATCAAACAAGATTCCATGGCAGCATGACAGAGTCCCAAGAAGCCAAGATCCACAACAAAGTCCCAAGAAGCCAAAAGCATTGCCCAGAAGCCGAGGCAACCCAAAGAAGTTATCAGGGTGTTCGCTGAAGTTGCACTGACAAAAGGTTGCCTTCAATCAGCTCACTAAATATACTTTCCCAGCATGAAAGCATTCCTGAGAGCAGTACGTGTGAAAAAGATCTTGGAGTCCTCGTGGACAACAAGTTAAACATGAGCCAGGAATGTGATGTGGCGGCAAAAAAAGCCAATGGGATTTTGGCCTGCATCAAGAGGAGCCTAGTGTCTAGATCTAAGGAAGTAATGCTCCCCATGCTCTATTCTGCTTTGGTTAGACCACGTTATCTGGAATATTGTGTCCAATTCTGGGCACCACAATTCAAGAGAGATATTGACTCTAAGCTGGAATGTGTCCAGAGGAGGGTGACTAAAACGATCAAGGGTCTGGAGAACAAGCCCTATGAGGAGCAGCTTAAGGAGCTGGGCATGTTTAGCCTGAAGAAGAGAAGGCTGAGAGGAGACATGATAGCCATGTATAAATATGTGAGAGGAAGCCACAGGGAGGAGGGAGCAAGCTTGTTTTCTGCTGCCCTGGAGACTAGGACATGGAACAATGGCTTCAAACTACAAGAGAGGAGATTCCATCTCAACATGAGGAAGAACTTCCTGACTGTGAGAGCCGTTCAGCAGTGGAACTCTCTGCCCCGGAGTGTGGTGGAGGCTCCTTCTTTGGAAGCTTTTAAACAGAGGCTGGATGGCCATCTGTCAGGGGTTGATTTGAATGCAATATTCCTGCTTCTTGGCAGAATGGGGTTGGACTGGATGGCCCAGGAGGTCTCTCCCAACTCTTTGATTCCATGATTCTATGATTCTCTGACCTCTAACCTCTCTCTTGTTTGCAAGCCTAGTACTACAACAAACCCTGAGTTGCAAGCGATTCTCCCTATCTAACTGTGGAGAGGCTTCAAGGTCAAATAACTCATTATCCTGGAGCTGGGAATCAACAGAATCGGCGGGCAAAGAGCTGCTGCCAGGCTGACTCGCCTCCTCCACCTGCACCTGTGAAGTTTCACTAAGATCAGAAACATCTTTTAAAACAACATCTCTTCCCATGGGAAACTGGAAGTCGTCTTCAGCATCAGCATCAACATCGTCTGTATCAACAATAGGAACATGTTCAGGAATCTGAAACCCATCATCCTCTTCCAGCTCCTCCTGAGGCTCCTGCTGAGCCACAACACTAGATCAGTTGCATTGTTCAGAGAGATTACATGGGAAAGTTGTGAAAGAAATTCACAGGAAACGGAAAATGATTTCATGGGTGTTTATTAAACAAGTTGTTTACCTTAGGTCAGTTCAGGCAACACTGCATGAGAGTGAAAAGTTAGGCCTGAATTCTCTTGTTCTTGATTCAAGTCAAGCTTTGGTTTTGGATTTAATACGTCCTGGATGTTTTTTGGGTTCTTGTTCATTTTCAAGTGTTATTTATTTATTTATTTGCTATATTTATACCCCGCCCTTCTCCCCCTGAAGGGGGACTCAGGGTGGCCTAACAAAAGCACCATACGATGCTAGCATCATAAAAACAACCACAGTACAATCAAATATTAAAAATTAAAACAATTAATTAAGACACATCCATTAAAATCAAAATCCAAAAACCAGTCTGGGTCAATTCATTGCCCTAAGTTGTGTGATCGTCTTCCACTTGCTGCTCACTGATCAAATGCTTGGTCCCATCACCAGGTCTTGATTTTCCTTCTAAAAGACAAGAGGGAGGTGGCCAATGTGATACCTCGAGGGAGGGCGTTCCATAGGCGGGGGGCCACTGCCAAGAAGGCCCTGTCTCTCGTCCCCATCCACCGCGTTTGTGATAGTGGTGGGATCGAGAGCAGGGCCTCTCCTGAAGATCTTAAACTTCGTGATGGTTTGTGGCAGGAGATACGTTCGGACAGGTAGTCTGGGCCAGAACCGTTTAGGGCTTTAAAGGTTAAAACCAGCACTTTGAATTGTGCTCGGAAGCTGATCGGTAGCCAGTGGAGTTGGCATAACAAAGGAGTTGTATGTTCCCTGTACGTTGCTCCGGTGAGCAACCTGGCTGCCGATTGTTGGACTAGTTGAAGCTTCCGGGCAGTCTTCAAAGGCAGCCCCACGTAGAGTGCATTGTAGTAGTCTATTCAGGATGTTACTAGTTATACCTTCTTGCTTAGTCCACACTTATGCTGTATCTGTGATTCCTGACTGTTCCTGGACTTTGCCACCTCTGGAACTCTATGAGACATTTGGATTATTGTTTGTATATCACCTGTTGCTGAACCTTTTTCAATTATATATCTTCATTTCTTATTCCTGATTTTTATAGGGTTTTTACAACAAATGGTTTGTTTATATTCTGGGACTCTTGTTAGGTGCGGTGTTCATAGGCGTTTCCAGGCCTGGGGTGCAACAAATACTACACAAACAGGTTCATTCAAGCTTGATATTGTATATATCACATCAACAGCTGGCAGTGAGTTACTGTGCACCTAAGTAACTTCCAAGAACTTCCCATTTCAGCAAAGATCAGGACTCAAAAAAGGTCTGAGCTGAATGAGAAACAGATGACCCACAAGCTAACAAGGGTTTGAAAGAATGCAGGTATCCTATCTGAGAAGCCCAAAGACGGAACCCTCAAGGAGTGTTCGAGACACAGAGGAGACAAATTGCTTTAGACTTGGCCACACCTGCGGCTTCAACACCTGAAGGCCAAAATACCTGCCAAAGTAGCACCGTTTCCCCAAGCTTTCTAAGACATTATGACAGCACAGGTCTGGCGGCATTCCATGGAGAAGGAATCCCACAGACAGAAAGCCACTGCTCTACCGACGCAGACAAGAGTGCAGCGCATGCAAATTAAGATATATTTCCCCCCACAGAAAATGAGCATGCCTCCATTAGAATGGCTGGCGCATAGCTGTCGCCTTGATATACCAGTTTTCTAAATGGAAGATGCGATAATGTACGGAGGAGGATTGCAGATGACAAGCCTGTCACCCGACAGGTGGATTGGGAAAGGCCCTTCTAATCCGATGCCGCCTTTCGCAATCTTTCCAGGAGTGTACTGTTTTACATCATCTTTTAAAATGTAACCTAGTGTTGATATTCCCACACTAAAGACTATCATATTAAAAGAGAATACCGTATATATGCGAACATAAGCCGAGTTTTTCATCCCTTTTTTAAGGCTGAAAAACTGCCCCTCGGTTTATACTCGAGTCAGTTATTTATTATTTTACTCTGTTATAATTATTATTATTATTATTATCATCATCATCATTGCATTTGTTATTTTACTCTATTTACTACTATTATTACATTTTAAATTATTTTACACTATTATTATTTTATTACATTTATTATTTTACTCATTATTATTACATTTATTATTTTACTCTATTATTACTTTTATTATTACATTTCCATTATTTTACTCTATTATTATTATTATCACATTTGTTATTTTACTCTTATTTTATTCTAATTACAATTATTATTACATTTATCATTTTTATTTATTTTTTATTATTAGGTTTATTTTACTCTATTATTATTATTACATTTATTATTTTACTCTATTATCACTTTTATTATTACATTTCCATTATTTTACTCTATTGTTATTGTTATTATTATTATTATTATTACTATTACATTTGTAATTTTACTCTTATTTTACTCTATTTACTATTATCATTACATTTAAATTATTTTACTCTATTATTATTATTACATTTATTATTTTTCCTTTATTTATTATTAGTACATTTATTTTACTCTATTATTATTATTATTATTACATTTATTATTTTACTCTATTATCACTTTTATTCTTACATTTCCATTATTTTACTTTATTATTATTATTACATTTATTATTTTACTCTATTATTACTTTTATTATTACATTTCCATTATTTTACTTTATTATTATTACTACATTTGTTATTTTACTCTTATTTTACTCTATTATTATTATTATTGCATTTATTATTTTACTCTATTATCCCTTTTATTCTAACATTTCCATTATTTTACTCTATTATTATTATTATTATTAC